AAAGGACTATAAAAAAAAAAATAATTTTTTTCTAGCCTGTGTTTCTCAACCTTGGGAACTTTAAGATGTGGGGTCTCCACCCCCCAGAATGCCTCAGCCAGCCATGCTGGCTGGGGCATTCTGGGAGTTGAAGTCCACACATCTTAAAGTTCCCAAGGTTGAGAAACACAGGCTAGAAAATGTTGATTTTTTTTTCAATGCTCTTTCTTGCTTTTTCTGTCTTTCTTCCAGCACCACTGACTTCCCTATTTTGCCATGGCTAAATTAGAGACCCTCTCTGTCCTTAGTGACCCCAGCTATCACAGCCAGGAAACGTTCCATGCTTTCCACCCCAGAACCTCTGAATCCACCTCTCAGAGCAGTATGGGAAGTGTGGGCAGCGGTGCCCCGCATGAACAAGAATTTGCCATGAAGAGCGTGGGCACCAGGACTCAGAACAGTAGCCAGCAGCTTGATGGAACCCGGAATAGCTACTCTACACGGGAGATCTCAACCCGTTATTCTGGGGAGGAGAAGACCTGTAAGTCGGAAAAGATCTCCAATTCCATCTACATCAACGGGGACTTACGCAAGAGTGAGAAGGGAAAGACTGACCTTTGTGGGAATGTGGCAGCAAACAATGAGAAGAATATGCCTCCACCACCACCCCAGTACAGAGAACCCAATAACCCACCAAAGATATTGCCAGTCTCTGGTAAACTAGACCAGGTGAGTTTCCATTCTCAGATGGTAGTTCGTTCTCTGTCCAATCACAGAGAAGCAAGGATGTTACTATATTTACAATGGTACTTGTCTTCCATGCCTCTCCCATAATATTTCATTCCACTTTCTTCTTTACATGGACATTTCCATATTCATGATGCCTCCTAGCCAACGCAGGTTAGCTTAAATCAGCGGTACACAATCAGTGGTCGCAGAACTACATAAAGCCCCCCAATGCCTTGGGTGGGTTTCTTAGAACTTCTTCCAAAGTTGCAGCCAAAGTGTAATTTGCAATGGGATAGGAAGAGAAAATTACAAAATATGTAAAGGATGTGTGATTAATTTAAATGAAAGCAAGTTTTAGGTTTTATTCTAGCCCAGCTCATTTCTTGATCCTGATCCTCTCATCTGAACAGGGAAAGCGGTCTCCTCTTGTATGGCTCATATATGGCTGGCAAAGGGTTCTGACAGTCGCTAGAGACTCCTGAACCTTTGGGGGCAGAAAATGCAAGTTGGGGCAAAGTTGAGGCTGGTTCTGCAGCTCTTAGCTGAGACAGGCAACAGTATGATTTGAGGGGACATCAGCTCTCCTGAAAGGCACAGAAAGAAAGATACAGTAATTGGGACAGAAGGTCTTCAAGAGAGGGAAGATATAGACTGGACACATAGTAGTTCCTGCCTCCCAAAGATCTGTTAGTGTCCTGTATACTGTACGAGTAGGAAATATCAATAAATATTATTGGGTCTATTATGGGACTGAGAGAAATAGGGATAGAGAACATACAACCCTTGGTCAACCCTTTTGAGATCTTTCACTGCACTTAGGACTGGAGATATGTGGAGATATGCAAGGGTGTAGGGGTAGATAGGTAGGTAGATATGGAGGCCCAGTCCTCCGTAGATTCCCTCCTAAGTACATGGGAAAATGGTCTCAGGGTAAGAATCTCAAGCTACTTTGTATAGTGAGGATTAGAGAAATTTGAACAGTATGGCTTTGAATGAAAATCAGATCTTATGGATAGAAGTTCTGAATGGTCCAGAAGCTGTTCTTCTGTTTTATTTGACATCCTCTTTTTTCTTTCCCCTTTCAGAATACTGAGCCCTTAGTTAGACCTTCAGCCTTTAAACCAGTAGTTCCTAAAAACTTCCATTCCATGCAGAATCTGTGCCCACCACAGAACAATGGAATCACAGAGAACCGAAAGACTATGAACCACACTAACAGCAATAGTCCCTCCACTGTCAAAAGTGGTCTTGAGAAGCCCAGCCTTAACAGGACTACCAACCAAGGAGGTGGCCTTTCTGATTCTGGCCGCAACTCTTTAACCAGCTTGCCCACCTATGGCACAGGCTATAGCCAGCATGTTGGTCCAATGAGTGCTTCAACTAGTCACATCAACCGCATTGGGACAACCTATGCTGACAAGAACATTGTGGGATACAATGGGATATCTACCTCAGACAGTGGACGGTCTTCCAGTAAGAGCACTTCTTCGTTTAGTAGACTCAACCATCTCAATGAAACAATGCCTTTCCACTCTCCTTCCACGGACGACATTATTCAAGACTTGGAGAACAGATTGTGGGAAAAGGAACAGGAAGTTCTCCAAATGAGGAGAAACCTTGACAAGAGTGAGGCAGCTATTTACCAGGTCTTCGAGGAGAAACAAAAGATCTGGGAGCGTGAGATGGAAGAACTTCGGCAAAACTATGCCAATAAGCTGCAGCAAGTCTCCAAGAAAGCCCAAAGGGCTCAACAGGCTCTTCAGCTCCAGATCTTTAAGCTCCAGCAAGAGAAGAAGAAGCTCCAAGATGATGTAGCTCAACTTCTTCAACAACGGGAAGAGCTGGAGAAGAAGTTTGTTGCTTTCAAAAAAGAGCAGGCTGAGTTTCTTCCCAAAATTGAAGAGACCAGATGGGAGGTGAGAGTCAAGTGGGGTCAATATCATGCAAGGAATGCAACCAATGTTGTTAGTAGTCTAATAGTGTGTTCTACAGCCTGTAATGGTTTTGATAAAAAGGAGTTTCCTCCTTCTCCTTCCTCTTCCAACTATGCATGGAGATGATTAAAATGCACATGTTGTTATTTTAGAGTGCTATGCATACACTGTCTCTACAGCAAGCAGTCTGGAGATAAAGCCACCCATGTTGGGTGTGATAAAGTAGGAGATATGACATACAAGCCCTGGATGTTTTGTTAGGGTCACCATCTTAGGCCATTACCAGACAGCTTCAGCCTGCATGGTAATGAGTTGAACTTTCTGCTGATCAGCTAATGGTGTTGCTGGTTGCTTGTAGAGTGCCAGGGAGGTGACCTTGAGGAGAATAGGCAAGAACTGTTATATAAAAACAAAGCGGGTGAAGCATTCCTTAAGTCCTGGGAGGCAAGATAGTATTCAGAAGAAACTCAGGGTGTAATGAGTAAGGACAATGATCTTGCTGGAAATAATGCAGGAACCAATGCATAGGCAAAAGAGGCTGAAGCTTTTTTTAGGTCCAGAACAACAAGATAACATTTGGAAGTGACTCAGGAAGATACTTCCCTGATTCACCAGGGTATAAGAGGTGACACACAATCAGGCTTGCAACAATCTGTTACTATAGCCCAGTGTTCTCAACTTTTGCAACTTTAAGATGTGTGGACATCAACTCCCAGAGTTCCCCATCCAGCTATGCTCGCTGGGGAACTCTGGGAGTTGCAGTCCCCACATCTTAAAGTTGCCAAGGTTGAAAAACACTGCTATAGCTCTATTTCTAACATACCTGTGGAGTTGGTTTCCTGATATGGTCTACCTCATGGGGCTGACAGTGCTTTCCATCATACTAGTTCTCAGCTTTCTCTGCTGTGACTGCTTCAGTATCACAGCAGGAGGAAGCTGGGCCTAGCATGGTGAAAAGAGCCTAGTGATCACCTACCACAAGGAGCTCAGTTTGTCTCCTGTGCAGATCTGAAGCCACATTTGGTCATACCCATAAATTGGCATTGTTTAAGAGGTGATCTCATGACAATATCTCTTTTCCAGGTGTGCCAAAAGGCAGGTGAGATATCCCTGCTGAAGCAACAGTTGAAGGATTCTCAAGCTGATGTCTCCCAGAAGCTGAATGAGATTGTTGGGCTACGTACCCAACTCAAAGAAGGCAAGAGCTTCCTAAGGGAGAAGGAAGAACAGATCTTGACTTTGAAAGACTCCTACAGCACCAAAAGTGTCAGCCTGGACATCTGTGAGAACGAGCTGCAGCGTAAGATGGCTGAGGTGCAGATGTTGAGGGAGAAGCTTAGCCAGTGTGAGCTGGAGGTCTCCAATCTGAAGCAGACCTTGACACATCTGGGAGGTCACCAGAACCACGTAACTACTGAACTCCCTGAGAAGCTTGCGAGGGACGCCTTGGCCTGTGAGAGTGATGAGGCCAAGATGAAACGACAAAGTGAGGAGAGTCTCAATGCCCTGAAAAGAGAAGTGGAGAGGGTCCAGGCAGAGTTGAAAGCAGAGCGCCAGTTACGGGAGCAACAAGTTTTGGACTTTGAGGGGGAACGTTGCACGTGGCAAGAGGAGAAAGAGAAAGTCATTAAGTACCAGAAGCAACTGCAGTTGAACTATGTAGAGATGTATCAGAAGAACCAACTTCTGGAGCACAAGGTGAATGAAATGACCAGCAAGGCCACCAGTCTGTCCCACACGGATGAGAAGAAAACATGGACTCCGTCCAGATTGGAAAGGATAGAGTCCACAGAAATCTGAGGAAAGAATCAAGGCATTTAAAGTACATTTTTCTAATTACGGTGCCTGTATTTCAGCCGGAGATCTTCCCAAGGAGAAAATGCTACATAACCAGCAGCATAAGTCTTTGCACTTGGCCCCTCAAACATACTTTGGTGCTCTACAGATTACTTTTAGGGGGGTGGGGAAAGCCACAGGTGTGCTTTTGTATTCTGGGGATGATTTGACATCAGGAGTACTTGTATGTTGTTGTGTGCACTTTTCTTTGATGTGGTTTCTGTTATTACTCCATTAACAAACGTACTACAATCTCTGCTCCCTTCTCCCTCCTCAACAGTCTTCCTATGGCATTTTCAGCTCTGTTGGAGAGCAGAGTTGAACCTCTGAAGTCACGGCACGTGGGATTTTTCCTCCCTGTTGCATCTCCTACGGCTTTTCTGCCCCACCCACCCCTTTATCCTTTCCTCCCCCCTGTGAAACTCTAACTTCCATCATTCCAGGAGGAGGCTGTGAGTGTCTCTCCCAAAGAATGCCTTGGTGCTCTGAGGAAACTACAATCCCCAAGGTTTGTTGAGAGGAACCATACCTGTTGAACAGTTTAAAAGTGGTATAAAACTGTAGTGTGCCTCAAAAGCCATTTTTCCACATGTCAGAAAATCAGGAACACCATTTGGACCCCATTCAGAGTGATCTTGGGTATGTTTATTTGGAAGTAACTCTGACTCAACCGTCAATGGAGCTTGAAATAAATAAGTTGTGCTCAGTCAACCTGGCACTATCACATAGCTGTGGGTTTTGCTAGGGTCCTGTAGACAAAAGGGGGAGCTAGTGAGAAGTCTGTGAGTACAGGGGGTATCGTGGTATCCTAAAGGTTGTAGCTGTTGTGTAATCAGCTCTCTTCAGTATCAAGCTCCTAATTTCCTGATGGGAAGATCTTCATTGCAGGTGAAGGGTGTTGATCAGACTTGGTGTCCCCGTGGCCCACTTTCAGACTGAGGAGCCTTTAAGATTCTCCACTGCACTCTTATTTTTCTTTTCTTGAGGTCCACCAAGCGTGGAACAGAACTATGGAAGGAAGATTTTGGGGTAAGCAAGAAGAAAGAGGGGATAAAAGAAACAGAGGCTCTGTGATTCAGCAAATGAGGTGGGCAACATTTAGGTCTAATTGATAACAGGTTGACAGATGTTCTTGGAGTCCAATACTGGCTAGTGGGTGATAGGCTGAGCATCTAGGTGGAGAAGATAAACTAGATTGTTGCACAGTTTTTCTCAGATATCATGGTTGAGCAGAGAGATGCTGGAATTAGAGATGACAACTTTATAGAGAAGGCTGGTTTTTATCACGTGTTTTCTCTGTTTGTATAGAAAGCAGGAGGAGGTGTCTGTTTTTTGCACCAAAATGAGATCACTTCTGTCTCCCTGCCTTATCTTCTGTGGCTTTCTAAGCCCTTTCCTTCCCAATCCGGATTATTTTTAATGCCAACGCACAGCCGGGAGAAGAGTGGAAAAGTTAAGGGGAGGTAAAATGAAGAGGCTTCTGGCTTGTGTCAAAAATAAGTAAGTACCAGCTTTAACCTATCAAAAGACTCGGCCAGGCAGGGGGATCTCAGACTTAAGAAAGGCAGCCCACCCAGTCAACCAGGTAGAGGAGTTGTAGCAGGACCCATGACTTCAACTTGATGGTATGGATCAAGACATACTCAGGGCCAAGATTAGAGTTGTGGCCATCTTGGGATCCCTTTGCAGCAGGTCCAGGGATTCAGGCATGGGTCTTCCCCGACCTCCCTTTTTCAAACTCAAGTCTTTTTCGATGCAAAGCCAATCTCAGTTCTGAGCCATGATCCTTTTCTAGATCAACATTTTTCTGCTCTGAAGGGTGCCTTTGGCCTAACTCAGAGCAGAACCCCCCCAAAGCACTGGATGATTTTAATTTAATTTGCATTTAAATTTGTCTAAATTTAAAGACAACTGTTATCCCATGTGACTCTCCTGTCGTGTGTTTATTAATTTCCCCCTTTTATCAGATTAAAACTTATAACTGTGCCCCAACTTTGGAGGTCTCTGTGCACTACTGCCATCTATCCATCCTGTTATTACCATTTAATGCTTCTCACCTTTTACAACCAAGACCTTTCCATCCAACATCCCAGAAGTCACCGATCTGTGGCAGTTTTAGATTTCCTGTTCTTAAGCCTGAGGTTTTCTTTGGTTAGCAAGTCAGTGAGATTTTCTCAGTTTTTCTACAGGCCCCCCATGGACCTTCACATCTATCCAACGTTATGGAAGGAATGCATGCTACATGAGTCCTATAGATATGAGATGAAACTCAGATTACTTACAAGTTGCTAGGGCAGCTGGTTGAGGCTAATGTGCTGGCTTGCTAGCCTTGTGTTCTGTAAGAAGGAAGGGAGGGAATGAGAATGATAGTTCTCCAGTAGTTTTGCTAGATTACAGAAGGCAAGGTAGGTGTACTATTAAGCTAATTACATTTGCTTCCCAACTTGCCAAGGAGAGCCCATAGAAACATCAAAACTGTGGTACAGGCCATCTGCTTGCAGCCTTCTGACAGGATTCAGAAGACGTTTCCAGGAGAAGCAGAATCTGAAGGCAACAGCCTCCTTGTATTTCTGCAGATTCCAATCAGTATTCAAGTTCCATCAGCAATTAGAACTAATAGATCTTTGGTTCACACCCCCTTCGTAACCTATTTAAACCAAGGCTATCATATCTATTGACTCGGGCATTGCGTGAGGAAGTCTTTCCATGTTAACTGCCCTGCCTCCAATGCCAGTCAGATTTCCTAGGACTTAAAAAGTTAGGTTCAGACTTCTAGTGTTATGGGGGAAGGAGAAATGCTTCTCTCTTCATCCCTCGGAGAAATGATTTTTAACATAAAACTCTTGACAAAATCACAACGTCTTGTTCCCACGTTCTGTGTGTACTTGGATCAACAAAGTTTTTTTTGGTGACTCTAAAGGCCCTGTCAGGTCTTTTCGTAAACACTGACTTGTCTTGCTCGAGGGAAGACATTTATTAGATTTTTTTTTAATGGCACTTTTTTTGTACCTCGCCTGGTAAGAGAAAACAAAGAATATATAATATATATACTGTCTTAGATTTAAAACAGATGATTTACCAATCTTTAATTGAGTGCAGAACCTACTATCTGAGACCATGGCAAGCCAATTGTCAGCTTGCCTGTAAGTGAAAGTGATTATTAACGGAAATGCGAAGAAAATAATTTACTGATATGCTGCTAAATTATACAGAAGCAAGTGTACTTGGATGTAAATACTTTCTGTATCTGTTTATGTGATGATTAAAGCAAAACACGTGTACAAAGAGGGAGAAAAAAAATCTCTGTTAGTAACTAAGTTTTGCAGTAAGAGCAGACTTCTTTGTCTAGAATGGAGTTTTGGGCTGTAAGAGAACATCTTGGAGAGTTCTCAACAAGCGGTTCATACGGTACCGAAGTCATTCTGGATTTCTCCAGGATTACAACAAGCTGTCTTATTTTGTGTACGTTTTGTCTCTGGGTTCATGATCTCGTTGGGGTTTAAACTCTTTGGAAATGTTGGGATATGACAGGCTTCCCAACAGGGCACCTTTGAGGTGTGTTGGGAGGCCAGCTCCCAGAATTCATAGCTTCTGTGGGATTTGGGGAGTTGTAGGCCAGCTCCATCTGGAAGAAGCCAGGTGAGGTCAGCTGGTGAACTTTGGTTGGATTTTGACTTGAATCAGAGCTCATTCAAAGAGGCCCGGCCAGCCTGGTCATCTCTACCTTTGAGGCAGCCATGCCTTGATAAAAGTTCTTGAGAAGGTAGAACTTCTCGTAGGGGTGTTGCTAACTGGCACAGCCAAAAAGAAATTACTCTTCTGTTGAAACAGCACTTTATGATGTTTGCTTCCAATCCCTGATCATTGTGACCAGAGAACTGATGGGAGAACGCTTTGGCATGCATTCAAAACCGTGGTCTTTTTTTAAATAGGGCATTAGAGACTGGGCAGTTCTAAAATGTAACTGTGGTACAAAGAGCAGGTGCAATTGCTCTCTCACTCTCTGAATAAGAAGAACTTATGAATAGAGGGCAGAGTTTCTAACCTACGTGTCCTGGGGAAAAATATAGCTCACTTCATTTTGGGTTGCGTGTGTTTTCTCCTGTGTTCTCTGTGATTTTGGCAGAAGCGGCTGCACATTTTCATCTTTGTATACATGAGGACTAGTCACATGCTCTTTTTCAAAGAAAAACCTGAGATTCTCAGGTAGCAGATGCCACCCTGGATCAGTCAGCATCACTTGTCAACAGCCACCCATCCAATCAGATGTTGTAACCCAGTGTTGTCCAAACTTGGCCACGTTAAGATGAGTGGACCTCTACCCCCCCACCACCCCCCCCCCGATTTCTGGGGACTTTGTTGTGTGGTGCTCCCCCCCTTTCTCAGAGCCCCAGATGTTCTCACACGAGTACCAAC